GATGTGTCAGTTATTATGACTCAGACCAGTGTTTATTCAGCTCATCATTACATTAACTGACATACTGATCGAGTCAGAATAACACTCTCTTCAGGGACTTTATCCTCTTCACTCAGACAGAGAGCTTGAGCTCTAACACAAACACAGCACACATGATCAATAATCAACACACACTTTAGTCAAGGGTGATCCTTCATGCTGGGAATCTCACTGGCACAATGACTGAGCAAAAAACATGTCATGCACAAGACAGTATATGGCAGTCATTACTATTAAACAGCCAAAACACGGTACTTTATGTAATTTTTGACTGTACTAAAGCATAAAAATGCCATAATATGTTTACAGATATTTAGGAAACATGCTAGGTTCACACTTGTTTCTCAAAAAAGCAATGCTGCAAGCCAGTTGTTCTACTTTGAAATGTGTGTTCCGTGTCAAAATGTCTGTTTTTGTTTTGCTCTGTGTGACTCCGCCCATTGCCAGTTTACCCAACACCATGGGTTGCCAGATGGTGGAAAACTCAGCATATGAACTGGGCCAGAGTTCGGAGATTCTACCCGACCTAAAAAGCCTCGGCATCCATTTAAAAAGCTCTATGACCAGAGGCATATTAAAACGCAACTCATCAACCTGCAGTGTAAAACTCTTTGCCTTCCATTAGAATTCCATGGCTGCCATGACTTTTTGTATAGGCAAGCATACCTGAAATCTAGATACATCAAAACCCACATCACATACACTACCGTTCAAAAGTCTGGACTCAGTAAGATTTTTACTGACTGTAAAAATAATATTAATGCTTTTTTTATTCAGCAAGGATGCTGTAACGGGGCTGACGAGACGTGAGACGTGTGGATCCATCTGCAAGCTTTTATTAAGAGACGTGGTATATGGCGGGCAAAAACACAAGAATAGTCCTAGGGCTAGCATAGGTCACCGATCGGCAGACAGAATAACAGGGGTGAGACGAGAGGTAAAAATCCAGGAAAACAGGCAAAGATCAGAAACCGCAAAAACAGGCAAGGCAAAACAAGGAAACCACGGCGACTCGGAAAGGGGTACAGGCTAAACAATACTCAACAGAGAAAGGTGGTTAGAGTGGGTGTTATATAGTGAGTGAGGTGATTAGAAACAGCTGTGTGCAATGAGTGCAATCAGGGCAGTGTGCAAATCGTGCAAAGATTGATGGGTGCTATGCAACAGTTTGTGTTGTTCGAGAGTCAATGTAATGGAAAGGGTGACCTCTGGTGGTGAATAAACGGAAGTCCATGGACCGAATTCATGACAGATGCATTAAATTACATTAAATACTGAAAAAAAAGTATTACAGTTTTTGAAAATGTAGCTTTGATATCGCATGAATATATTACATTTTAAAATATACCGAATAGATTGCAGTTATTTTAAAATACAATATTATTTCATAGTATTACTGTGTTTGTTGTATTTTTGATCAAATAAATGCAGCTACAGTGAGCATAAGAGACTATGTTCAAAAACATAAAAATATCTTACTGACCCAAAAATATTATGTCAAAATCTACAAAATCAAGAGGGTTGGCAAGTGAAGTGTTGCTGTGTCCAGAAAATCTCCAGAATTTGATTTATTTATCTGCCTAATACCTCAAACTCAAAGTAACAATACCTGATTTACTTAAGAAATTATCACATTTTACTGATCACAAATTACATCTTCCAATTCACCACTCCAGTCCATCAGTTAATGTCTTGTGAAGTGAAAAGCTGCGTGGCTTTACACAAATCCATCAAGACATGTTTTTAACTTCAAACTATCACTTCTGGCTAAAATATGAGTCCGTAATCCATAATAACTCTTCCTATAAAAAGTCCATCCCCTCTCACATTCACTAACATATTTGTTTAGAACTGTTTTACCTTAAAATAAATAGTGCTTGATCTGTGCAGATTTCTCTCCTGATTCAGACGAGACGACTGGAGAAAGCAATATTATGGATATATAGACTCGCGATGGTTTGAAGTTAAAAGATCTTAATGATGGGTTTGTTTCTTACAAACACAGCTTGTACTTCACAAGACATTAACTGATGGACTGGAGTGGTGTGGATTGCTTGTGGATTATTGTGATGTTTTTATCAGCTGTTTGGACTCTTGTTCTGACGGCACCCATTCACTGCAGAGCATCCATTGGTGAGCTAGTGATGTAATGCTGAATTTCTCCAAATCTGCTCCCATGAAGAAACAAACCCATCTACAACTTAAAAGATGGTGAGCACATTTTTAGCAAATTTTCATTTTTGGATGAACTATTCCTTTAAACTCCTTTAGAAACTGTTTATTTGAATCATAGTTCAATCAAACTGTTTAATCATTTAGCTCCATACTATGCTTAATTTAAGTCTTATTTATGTACAATCCCCCATGTTTCTATCGCTCAGCTCTTCATTCCTCTTTTATGAAAGAAACAATTGGGTCTAATGGCCACCTGCATATTTGGATCTACAAAACATGTTCTGCTTTTAATTCTGCATTTCCTTGACCTCTTCCTGGAGTGTTTCCTTGTCGATGTTTCATTTCTCTTGGATATTTCTTGGTGAATTAAGCCTGTTGAATGTCTTTAAGTGATTAAGTGGTAAAGATAATTATACAGCAAAAAAAAAAAAGTGGGATAATGTACATATACTGTATTCAGCAGGTCATTTTTGCAAAATAAACCCCTTCAGGCTAATGCACACATGCTTGGATCGCCAAAGGACCTTTAAACCTGATATACAAATACACACAAAAACTGAAATCTGTGGGTATTTGTGTCTTTATGGCATTTATAAAGCAGGTTTCTCAGGAGAGATTGTTCTGCAACAAGTGTGCTGCAGATCACATTCAGTATACTGCATCTGACAGGCAGCTAAGTGTAGGTGTACATGTGTCCTGATTGATGTTGATAGATGGTGTGTGTCCGTATCTTCCCCCACTAACTATTTTTAGCCAATCAAATCACTGTAAATTAGAGTGTGAAATTGGCTGTGTTGCTATGACAACCAGCAATAAGTCTCATGCTGGTGTGTGAATCTCCCCCTCACTGCTGTGCTCTTATGTCCTCTGTCCGTTTCCCATGTCCTCTCTTGGCTGCTTTTCCCTGGATTCCTGTGTCCAGTGAGTGGGCAGAGAGTCCAGGTCTGCCGGAAAATATTTACCCCATAAAAACAGCAGCTCGCTGTTCACACAGACTTTCCAGTTTATGCATGTGTGCAGAATGATACTACATGCTCAACCATATTTTAGTATATAGAGTATGGTGTATATTTTATGGTACAGTAGGCTACTAGTCAAAAGTTTGGAATAATTAGGATAATTAAAGTAAATGTTGTCTATTTGAATGCATAGTTTAGTGCTTCCAGTCTTCAGTGTCACATGATCCTTCAGAAATCATTCTGATATACTGATTTGCTGCTTAATTATTTTTGATGATCAATTATTAATAATGGTTCTTATCAGCAATGCCGTTTTTGCTGCTTAATATTTTGTGTATTTTTCATCAAATAAATGCAGCATTGGTGAGCATTAAAAACATAAAAAATCTTAATCATTCCAAACTTTAGACCAGTATACTACATAATGCAGGATGCAATAATAAACTTTGTAAGCTTCAGTACGCTACACTTTTGTCACATAAACTTACTACACTATACAAAATAAATTTGTAATTATTTACAAAATATATATGCATATATAACAAAGATTATTGGAGTGCATGTTTACAAGAAAATATTAATTTTTTTCTACTTCAAAATGTCAGTTTAATTCCATGTTTCATTGTAATTATTTGTGTTTAAATACATACATACATTTGAACAGAAATGCATTTGAACATTTGAACAATATGCAATTTTTATGTACTTTGTGCTTTAATAATGTAATATGTTTATGCCAAAAAATGATAAATATAAGTCAAATATAGGTTACACAGCCTGGTAATAGCTTTGCCTGCGCTTTTGATATTCTGTTATTATCATTAACAACAACTGAAAAAAAGTAAAAATGTTACTTGATACAAAATAAATATGAACTGAAATAATATAAACAGCCCAAAACACACAGCCTGGTAATAGCTTTGCCTGCGCTTTTGATATTCTGTTATTATCATTAACAAGAACTAAAAAAAGTAAAAATGTTACTTGATACAAAATAAATATTAACTGAAATAATATAAACAGCCCAAAACTTTATAAAAGTTAAAAAAAAATAATAAAAAAAAGTTTTTCATTTTACTTCATTAAAATAACTAAAATAACCACTATTAAATAAAGAAAAAACAGAATATATATATAAAAATATCTAATTCAAAATATTTGCAAAACTATAATAGCATATCAGTGATACTCCATTAACACTGCCATTACAGATCCAGTTGTAGAAGTGCAGTTTTTATGAAACTGCTGATATGACTGGAGTCTTCATCTCAAAAACTCTATTCGTGTCTTCATGTGTGAAACTTTTATGATGACGGAAAAACCTCTACGGCACCTTAAAAGTCAGTTTAGATGGAAAGCATCTGTTAAATGTTACGTAACTAACTTGCATCTCTCACAACGAAATAGTTCAACAGCCATCAAACAAACAAAACCTGCCTGATGCAAAACAGAACCCGTCGTGTGTGTGTGTGTGTGTGTGTGTGTGTGTGCAGATATTCAAACAAACTGCAGGACACACTTTTGTCCTTCAGTGTAACATGTTCTGCTCAAATATTTCTTATTTATAAAGCGGGCATATGTTCGGACAGTGAGCGTGTTGGTTTTAAAACACAGAAACCACACTGCAGTGCGTGTGAGTGTCAGATGCACTTTATTTAGGTGCCAAACAAAACAAAAAAAAGAGTGTCACCCTTCAGTCATTCAGAAGAGTTGAGCACAGGTCCACATAAAAAAAATATAAAATCAATACCGACTCAGAGCTCTCTATTCAAACACACACACTCACACACCTCCGTAATCTCTATATGTTCAGCCTTGAGATCCAACCTCAAGCACGGCCAGGAGGAGGACACCAAGAAAAACTGGCAACCTCTGTACAAATGGATATACAGTCAAGCAAAAGCCTTCATCGTCAGCATCAATGACCCACACGAGCATGGCAGAATATTGAGAACGAGTGCAGAAAGGGGCTGAGATGCCAAAGAGGGTGATACAATCGAGAGAGACAGAAAAAGAGACGAGTCCTACAGAGCCATATGAGATACTAAATTAGCAAAAGTTCTGTCCAGATGTGTCCCCGTCCAGTCAGAGACAGGGACTTACGCTGCATTCCATTCGCTTGGAAAGTTAACATTCCTGCAACTGAAAGTCTCTTGAAACTCACGGTGGAGGGTTCCTGATGCAGACATGGTGGCAGTCAGAGATTTACAGTCAAACATTCAACATTTAAGCAAATAAAATACATCAAGGAGTCAAAAGGTGTCCAACATTGCATGATGCAACATGTTTAGCGAACATAAAAAACAAGATAAATGGTTCTCTCCGTTGATACACTAGTAGAACGTAAAGCACAAGCGTCCCCAACTTGGTTGCTAAGAGTTCTTTGTTCACAATTGTTCCACTGCAAAGCTAGAGTCGCCATTCTGAATTCTGTTTTACTGTCAAATAAAATAAAAAGCATTATCAAATATTAACCTATCAAACAAAAAACTGCAGAGAGACCCTTAAATCAAAACTGACAAATCTTAATTTGTATGGTATACTGTTACTGCAGTGATGATTTATCCATGTGCATGATTGTTTTTATGTTTGAATTAATTCAATCAATCTTTAATATAAAACAACTTTCCTCCCCTTTGCAGCAACATCAGAGTGTGCAACCTGTCAATCACAATCACAATGATCTAATCAATTCCAAAAGAACAAAGCCAAGCACCGCCCAATGTGTTTTGTTTAGTTTTTTTCCAGAGAATTAAGAATAGGGAAGAACATACAATCGTAACTTCTGTTTCATGCCGACTTTAAAGCTTCTCTTTTGTTGGCTGCAGGTTTATAAATGTTTTATAAGCAACTGAAAGCACTGATCACAATTTCACTCAGATACTTCCAATATATATATTTTTGCATTTAAACCGCAGCCTTTGTGATAATTGCACAAACCCATATTGTGATTTCGATTTTACTTTGATTAATCATTCAGCCCTACTCTGCATCACACATATACAGTTGTTTACGTGAAGCTCATTCACTTGGATTCGGAGAGTTTGACATTAGCATGCCGTTAAGCTAACAGCATGATACTTGTGTGTGCAACGCGTAAAAACACATGGAACACACCTTATTAATTTTTCAGCAAACTATTACGGAGTGGAATGAAATTCAAATATATTTAGAATCTCATCCACCATCCTGGAGGAATTTTTCAGAGCTCACCTCAATACATTCTGTGAAACCATAGGCTATAACATACTGTCTAGATAGGCAGCTAACTAGGTTTTGGAACAAAGCTAACTGTTTTTCTACCTCTTAATGCTTCAGTTGAGATACCGATGACTTTGAGGGATCTATTCCCAAATAAATGGACAATTAGAAAGTCTTCATTAAATGATTATATGGCTATATCAAGCATATGGCTAAGAACCCTCTTATTTTCTCTCTCTCTCTCTCTCTCTCTTTGACCTGGTGACAAACTCAGATAAACTCATCAATACCATAAGACCAAGAACATAAAAGTCCAACTCATCGACACTCAAACAGGAAACGTGAAACCTAAGGCAAGTGCTCTTCCTGTGGTTGAGTCAGTCAGGATTTAAAATGACAAGAAAAAAAAATCCTCAAAGTTACTGTCAGTCTGCAGATACAGAATGATGGAAAACCGTGGACACTAGAAGGTCTATCAAAGCTACTGTAATGTGAGTTCTGTGTGTGTTTTGGGGGGGTTATTGTATATTGCAGGAGGAGCAGCACGGAGCATCTTTATCCGGCTGTGCCGCGAAGTCCATCTGCCGCACGATCTCGGCAAAGAGTTCGTCCACCATGGTCTTGCTCTTGGCAGACGTTTCGATGAACGGACAGCCCCACTCCTCGGCCAGCGCCTGTCCCTCCCTCACGGACACCTCCCGCTCACTCTCCAGATCCACCTTATTCCCCACCAGGATCACAGGAACCTTCTCATACCTGGAAACAACCAAACAGAACACTTAAACAGAATTTATGCAAACAATTCCTTCTGAACAAGAAAGCATACTTTAGTATACCTTTAAAAAGAGTACTTATTAAACTTTAAAATAATATTTTTTAAACTTTCTTTTTAAAAAGTGCACTTATGTATGTTAAGAAACAGTCATGAAAGTTTGCTCCATTTCATTAATATACTATCTGCAAGTGTAGTTTTTTTTTTTTTTTTAAATACAAGTGCATAGTGAACTTCTTTTTCACAAGGGCGTTTACTTTAGGATGCATCCCAGTAGCTTAAAGTCTACACGAAACACATTCAAAATGCATTTAACTTCCAACAGTCATATGCATGAGTGAAACAATATTTTATAGGAAACCGTGTAGGCAGGGCTTGATTTTCCCCATCAAGACTTGATTGGCTCATGGATGTCAGAGTAGGATTGTAACAGGGCTGACAAGACGTGAATTTCATTAATATACTATCTGCAAGTGTAGTTTTTTTTTTTTTTTTAAATACAAGTGCATAGTGAACTTCTTTTTCACAAGGGCGTTTACTTTAGGATGCATCCCAGTAGCTTAAAGTCTACACGAAACACATTCAAAATGCATTTAACTTCCAACAGTCATATGCATGAGTGAAACAATATTTTATAGGAAACCGTGTAGGCAGGGCTTGATTTTCCCCATCAAGACTTGATTGGCTCATGGATGTCAGAGTAGGATTGTAACAGGGCTGACAAGACGTGAGATGTGCGGATCCATGTGCAAGCTTTTATTAAAGCAGAAGAGGTCAGAAACACAGGCAGGGTCGAACAATGGCAAACCGGTATATGGCGGGCAAGACACAATGAAAAATCCTAGGGCTAGCGTAGGTCAATGATCGGCGAACAGAATCAAAAGGGCGAGACTAGAGGGGATAAATCCAGGAAAACAGGCAAAGATCAGAAACCGGGAAAACAGACAAGGCAAGACTAGGCTAGGCTAGGCTAAGGCTATCGAAGGGAAACAAGCTCCGTAGAGTAGCTATCGCTAAGAGAGTGATAAACGCATACAATACTCGGCCGAGGGAAAGGATCAGAGTGAGTGTTAAATAGTGAGTGAGTGATATGAAACAGCTGTGTGCAATCAGTGCTGTGTGCAATCAGTGAAACAGCTGTGTGCAATCAGTGCAATGAATGATGGGATATGTAGTCCGGGATGATATGCAACAGTGTGTAGTGCGAGAGTCAATGAAAATGGAAAGGGTGACCTCTGCTGGCTAGCAGACGGAAGTTCATGGACCGGATATGTAACAAGGATATTACTGGTAAATGTTATTTTTATACAAATGCACAGCAAAGTGATTTTAAAGAAACATTATCTAACATTTTACTTGTTTACTATATTGCCTGACTTAATAAAATATCGTATAAAGAAAATTTGTGTCTGTAATATTTTTATTTTTAATACACTCTATCATTCAAAGTTTTAGGGCGAGTAAGTTTTATTTTTTTTAAAGAAATTAATACTGTTATTTAGCAAGGATGCATTAAATTGAACAAAAGTGACAAAAATATTAAGCAGAACAACTGTTTTCAACATTGATAATATTAAGATATGTTTCTTGAGCAGTGAATCAGCATATTAGAATGATTTCTGAAGGATCATGTGACACCGAAGACTTGAGTAATGATGCTGGAAATTCAGCTTTGATCACAGGAATAAATTACATTTCACAAGATATTAACTTGGCAAAAAATGCCTAAACAGAGTTCCAATCCGGTTTTAGGAAAAAACATAGTACATCCACAGCAATTATAAAAGTATTAAATGATTTAATGGTTTCATTGGATAATAAAAACCATAGTGCTGCTTATTTTATCGATTTATCCAAAGCTTTTGATTCCGTAGATCAGCAGAGGTTACTTAGAGTAGGTTTATCAGTAAATACTGTTGGATGGTTTATTAATTACTTATCGGATAGATCTCAATGTATAAATATAGAGGGACTCACTTTTTGTACTCTGAATGTAAATATCGGCGTACCACAGGGATCAGTCCTTGGGCCATTATTATTTATTTTATATATTAATAATATTGGGAATAATCTATTGTATTATTGTGATATCATATACAGGCATTGGATTCAGTTTATCATGGAGCACTAAGGTTAATCACAAATTCAAAAGCCCTGACTCATCATTGTTTATTGTACTCTCGGGTTGGATGGCCGGCGTTGTCATCCTGTAGACTTAAGCATTGGTACTTATTTATATATAAAATAATTTTAGGTTTACTTCCTTCGTATTTACAGCAGAATATCTTACAAAAAGGTGCAAAGAATTATGGTCTTCGCTCACAAGACTATTATCTTTTAAGTTCGTACTAATATGGGCAAACGGGCATTTAGTTATGCTGCTCCATTTGATTGGAATCAACTACAAGATAATTTATGCTTAAAAGAGTTGGTATCACTAAATGATTTTAAATGTATTTTAAAGGATCTAACTGTAGTCACCTGATTGTAAATGTTTGGAGTGATTTGTGTATGTTTCTGTGTATGTAAACGAATGTATTTTGTTTTATGTGTAACTAAATGTGCTGCCTATCTTGGCCAGGACCCTCTTGTAAATGAGATTTTAAATC